TTGATTTTCGCACCGACCTCTATTTTGAAAAAAAGCGTGATGTAACCCCTTGCCATTTTGTCGATTTGGGTACAAATTTTGGATTTCCTTTTTTGATGCCAATCGTTAGAACTGATCCTTACGAATCAAAAATGGTATAAAATTCCAAAATCGGACATTATTTGACGGAAATATTGCAAAAAATCATCAAAAACGTTGAATTTACGAACGAATCGGTTTTTTGTCAACAACATTGTGCAACCCATCGATGATTGATTTGTTTGAATGCCAATTGATGGTAGGGATCCGTACGCATTCAAAAAGGTATAACATTTTAAAATCAGGCATTATTTACCCGAGATATTAACAAATATCATCGAAAAAGTTTCTATTTTCGCACCGACCTCGATTTTGAAAAAAATCGTGATGAAGGTCATATCTCCGCGCGGAGTTATGTCGTTTTGGAACGTCATATCTCCGCGGGGAGTTCTGTCGTTTTGGAACGTCATATCTCCGCGCAGAGTTATGTCGTTTTGGAACGTCATATCTCCAGGAAAATGTTTCGATTTTCGCACCGACCTCGATTTTGAAAAAAATCGTGATGAAGGTCATATCTCCGCGGGGAGTTCTGTCGTTTCGGAACGTCATATCTCCAGGAAAATGTTTCGATTTTCGCACCGACCTCGATTTTGAAAAAAATCGTGATTAAGGTCATATCTCCGCGGGGAGTTCTGTCGTTTCGGAACGTCATATCTCCAGGAAAATATTTCGATTTTCGCACCGACCTCTATTTTGAAAAAAAGCGTGATCAAGGTCATATCTCCGCGGGGAGTTCTGTCGTTTTGGAACGTCATATCTCCAGGAAAAAGCTTCGATTTTCGCACCGACCTCCATTTTGAAAAAAAGCGTGATGTAACCCCTTGCCATTTTGTCGATTTGGGTCAAAATTTTGGATTTCCTTTTTTTGATGCTAATCGCTAGAACTGATCCTTACGAATCAAACTTGGTATAAAATTCCAAAATCGGACATTATTTGACGGAAATATTGCAAAAAATCATCAAAAAGGTTGAATTTACGAACGAATCGGTTTTTTGTCAACAACATTGTTCAACCCATCGATGATTAATTTGTTTGAATGCCAATTGATGGTAGGGATCCGTACGCATTCGAAAAGGTATAACATTTTAAAATCAGACATTATTTACCCGAGATATTAAAAAGAAATCATCGAAAAAGTTTCGATTTTGAAAAAAATCGTGATTAAGGTCATATCTCCGCGGGGAGTTCTGTCGTTTTGGAACGTCATATCTCCAGGAAAAAGTTTCGATTTTCACACCGACCTCTTTTTTGAAAAAAAGCGCGATGAAGGTCATATCTCCGCGGGGAGTTCTGTCGTTTTGGAACGTCATATCTCCAGGAAAAAGCTTCGATTTTCGCACCGACCTCTATTTTGAAAAAAAGCGTGATGTAACCCTTTGCCATTTTGTCGATTTGGGTCAAAATTTTGGATTTCCTTTTTTTGATGCCAATCGTTAGAACTGATCCTTACGAATCAAAAATGGCATAAAATTCCAAAATCGGACATTATTTGACGGAAATATTGCAAAAAATCATCAAAAAGGTTGAATATACCAATGAATCGGTTTTTTGTCAACAACATTGTTCAACCCATCGATGATTAATTTGTTTGAATACCAATTGATTGTAGGGATCCGTACGCATTCAAAAAGGTATAACATTTTAAAATCAGACATTATTTACCCGAGATATTAAAAAGAAATCATCGAAAAAGTTTCGATTTTGAAAAAAATCGTGATTAAGGTCATATCTCCGCGGGGAGTTCTGTCGTTTTGGAACGTCATATCTCCAGGAAAATGTTTCGATTTTCACACCGACCTCTATTTTGAAAAAAAGCGTGATGAAGGTCATATCTTCGCGGGGAGTTCTGTCGTTTTGGAACGTCATATCTCCAGGAAAAAGCTTCGATTTTCGCACCGACCTCCATTTTGAAAAAAAGCGTGATGTAACCCCTTGCCATTTTGTCGATTTGGGTCAAAATTTAGGATTTCCTTTTTTTGATGCCAATCGTTAGAACTGATCCTTACCAGTCAAAAATGGCATAAAATTCCAATATCGGACATTATTTGACGGAATTATTGCAAAAAATCATCAAAAAGGTTGAATTTACGAACGAATCGGTTTTTTGTCAACATCATTTTTCAACCCATCGATGATTAATTTGTTTGAATGCCAATTGATGGTAGGGATCCGTACGCATTCAAAAAGGTATAACATTTTAAAATCAGACATTATTTACCCGAGATATTAAAAAGAAATCATCGAAAAAGTTTCGATTTTGAAAAAAATCGTGATTAAGGTCATATCTCCGCGGGGAGTTCTGTCGTTTTGGAATGTCATATCCCCAGGAAAAAGTTTCGATTTTCGCACCGACCTCGATTTTGAAAAAAATCGTGATGAAGGTCATATCTCCGCGGGGAGTTATGTCGTTTTGGAACGTCATATCTCCGCGCGGAGTTATGTCGTTTTGGAACGTCATATCTCCGTGCGGAGCTATGTCATTTTGGAACGTCATGATCTCCGCGCGGAGTTATGTCGTTTTAGAACGCCATATCTCCGCGGGGAGTTCTGTCGTTTTGGAACGTCATATCTCCAGGAAAAAGTTTCGATATTCGCACCGACCTCTATTTTGAAAAAAAGCGTGATGTAACCCCTTGCCATTTTGTCGATTTGGGTCAAAATTTTGGATTTCCTTTTTTTGATGCTAATCGCTAGAACTGATCCTTACGAATCAAACTTGGTATAAAATTCCAAAATCGGACATTATTTGACGGAAATATTGCAAAAAATCATAAAAAAGGTTGAATATACCAACGAATCGGTTTTTTGTCAACCACATTGTTCAACCCATCGATGATTAATTTGCTTGAATGCCAATTGATGGTAGGGATCCATACGCATTCGAAAGGGTATAACATTTTAAAATCTGACATTATTTACCCGAGATATTAAAAAGAAATCATCGAAAAAGTTTCGATTTTCGCACCGACCTCGATTTTGAAAAAAATCGTGATGAAGGTCATATCTCCGCGGGGAGTTATGTCGTTTTGGAACGTCATATCTCCAGGAAAAAGTTTCGATTTTCGCACCGACCTCCATTTTGAAAAAAAGCGTGATGTAACCCCTTGCCATTTTGTCGATTTGGGTCAAAATTTTGGATTTCCTCTTTTTGATGCCAATCGTTAGAACTGATCCTTACCAGTCAAAAATGGCATAAAATTCCAATATCGGACATTATTTGACGGAATTATTGCAAAAAATCATCAAAAAGGTTGAATTTACGAACGAATCGGTTTTTAGTCAACAACATTGTTCAACCCATCGATAATTAATTTCTTTGAATGCCAATTGATGGTAGGGATCCGTACGCATTCGAAAGGGTATAACATTTTAAAATCAGACATTAGTTACCCGAGATATTAAAAAGAAATCATCGAAAAAGTTTCGATTTTGAAAAAAAATCGTGATTAAGGTCATATCTCCGCGGGGAGTTCTGTCGTTTTGGAATGTCATATCTCCAGGAAAAAGTTTCGATTTTCGCACCGACCTCGATTTTGAAAAAAATCGTGATGAAGGTCATATCTCCGCGGGGAGTTATGTCGTTTTGGAACGTCATATCTCCGCGCGGAGTTATGTCGTTTTGGAACGTCATATCTCCGCGCGGAGTTATGTCGTTTTGGAACGTCATATTTCCGCGCGGAGCTATGTCGTTTTGGAACGTCATGATCTCCGCGCGGAGTTATGTCGTTTTAGAACGTCATATCTCCGCGCGGAGTTATGTCGTTTTGGAGCGTCATATCTCCGCGCGGAGCTATGTCGTTTTGGAGCGTCATATCTCCGCGCGGAGCTATGTCGTTTTGGAGCGTCATATCTCCGCGCGGAGTTATGTCGTTTTGGAACGTCATTTCTCCGCGGGGAGTTCTATCGTTTTGAAACATCATATCTCCGCGCGGAGCTATTACCCGAGATATAAAAGAAAAAATCATCGAAAAAGTTTCAATATTCTCGCCGACCTCGATTTTCAATTGCGCAGTTGAATATAACTTTGGTTTTTTTTAACCGATCTTTATGAAATTTTCTACAGTATATCTTATTGTATCATAGAATAATTGTGTATACTGAAAAAGTCAATTGCATTTAAATTTTGGCTTAAATTGGTTGGCAATAAAAGTTGGGTTATTAACTTGATTTATAGCTCTCTGGTGCTAGCGGAGAGGTGGCGATAGGTATAAAATGAAAGATACTTGACAAATATATAATATTTTAGAAGCAACATATCATGTTTCGTGACTCTAGCTCTTATTATTTACCAAAATTGCCTAAAAAACAGGATATCGATATTGATCCATATCGATTGCTTGGAAACGGAGTAAGTTACAGATTCTCGGAAACAAACTCGATCTGCGCAGGCACTAGGAGCACCTACATCTAAAATTTCAAGTCTATAGCTCTTATATGTTCTGAGATTCTTGCGTTCATATATACGGACGGACGGACAGACAGATCGACATGGCTAGATCGACTCGGCTTTTGATGCTGATCAAGAATATATATACTTTATTTAATCGGAGATGCTTCCTTCTTCCTGTTACATACATTTGGATTTTGCACAAATACAATATACCCTTATACCCATTTTTAATGGGTTCAGGGTATAATAAAATTGATATGGCAACTCTGCATTCACAATGGTGGTGCGCCGGTAAATAAAGCGCATGTCACGTTCAAGCTGAATGACAAGCAGGTGCATGAGAACGATACGAAAATACCACATGCATTTTATATTTTATTTATTATATTGCATATTGGCTTTAAAAAGTTAAAATGTATGTATAATTGAATGTTTATTTGTGTGTTCCATTGTTTTTGTTTCACAAGAATTACGAGTCTTATGTGGCATCATACAGTCTGAACGTATGTTGGCCACCCTAACAAATAACCTAAAAGCTGGGCCAGAGACACGGCAGCTCTGAAATTTATATTATTATTTTGTAAATTAATTTAAAACCCAGAATGAGCCGCAACTACAAAGAAGATCAGGCCAATGAGGTCGAAGCGCTGGATTCCATATATTGTGGTGAAATGGAAGGTAACTCGCATGTTCTTCTTGTATTTCAATATAATACAAATATTCCCTTTGCAGTTCTACAAACAGAGCCTTTCCACAAATTCCAAATTCCTATTGCCACAGAGGAGTACAATGCCGATGCGGTCGAAGAGAATGAAAAGGGCTTAGCGTGCAAGCTTGTGTTTACGTATACAGCAACATATCCAGATGAAGCTCCGTTAGTGAAAATTGAGGAAGCCGAAAACTTTGAAGACAATTTCGAGGCGCGGCTGCTGGAACACTTACGCCAGACAATTGACGAGAACATCGGCATGGAGATGGTGTTCTCGTTGGTGAGCAGTGCACAGGAATGGCTAAATGTGCAGTGGGACGAGCACAAGAAGACTCAGGAGGATGAACGGGTGCGCAAGGTTCAAGAGGTCGAAGAAGCGGAAAGAAAGAAATTCGAAGGAACGCGCGTGTCAGTCGAGACATTTATGAAATGGAAATTAGACTTTGAAGAGAGCACGGGCATTGCCGCAAAACGGGAGAAAAACAATGATTGCAAGAAGCTGACGGGCCGAGAGTTATTCATGTGCGACAACACATTGAACGATTCGGACATCAAATTCCTGTTGGAAGCCGGTGAGAACATTGAGAATGTTAAAATCGATGAAACATTGTTTCAAGATATTGGCGAACTGGATTTGGATGACGACGACGATGAGGATTGGGTACCCGGAGCTGATGACGACGATGATTAAGCAGTGCTGCGATATTACAAATAAAACTCATATAAGGCATACTTGTGTATTGTAAAGAAATGGCCTAACACAATGGGTTCTCTATAGTTTTACAAATAAAATGCTAGCGTGTTATCAATCTAATCCGTTGGGATTTTGCAAACTCATTTCGGATAACTTAAGTCCGTAGCTTTGAACAGGTTGAATGTCGTCCAAGTCAAAAAACTCCTCGTCGCTGTCATCGTTTTTCTCCGCATTCGGGTTGATCTGGGCAGCATCTTTCTTTACAGCTGGCAGCACATCACGCGGAAAATTAAGTTTTGGCCATGATCCCGGTTCCAATTTTGGCAACGTTATCTCCACCTTAGTGCCAAACATTTGCACAGAAGCTGTTTGTACATTGATTATCTAAACAGACAGAAGGGTCAGTTATACAAGTTGGCATAATAGAAAGGATTCGATCTTACACCACGCAGTTCTAGGTCCAACTCGAACTTGGCATTCTCCTGTTCTGGAAAGACCAGCATTACGTGCAGGCGAATTGGATTCACTTCAACGACGCTTTGTGCATAATGAAATTTTTTGGCATAGACTGTGACAACAACATTCGTAGCCGTCTGATGCCAATCGTATCGGCATTGAACTACCTGTTTGTCTTCGTCCTGCAGTGTATCAATTGATTATTAAAAAATTGACGCGTGCAGTGTTCGTATGACTTACGTCTTTAACAAACTTATGTTGACCGTAAACACAGCCTTTCTGGGCCATGAACTGCGCAAAATCGGAGGTACGTTTCTGACAGCATGACCAAAACTTCATGCCCTCATGGAATATGGGAACGCCAGGATGATAAGTGCACTCGCCAAAGTCGCTGCTTGTGTTTGTGTAGGAGTAAGTGCAGCCATTGTTTTTGCAGCTCGTTCCCACAGCAACATCTCTAATAAATATGTATGCATAAAATATCATTCAATAAAAGTACAAAAGAGCTCTCAAGTACCGTTCGCTGCCTGCAGTTGCAGCTGGCGCGGCAACAGTGCTGACTTTTAAAGCATCAATGGTGTCCTTCAAAGCAGGCGCTACTTTTGGCTCCAGGACAGTGAATGGCGTTTCAATGGCTGGCCTAGGCAGAGATTCCCTAATAGGAGCTCGCACTTCAATTTCCATAGTCTTATCCTCATCCTTGTCATCCTTGGCTGGCTTCTCTGGTTCGGGCGGTTTAATGTTTGAATGCTTCGCCAAAGTGCAGCCTTTGATATTGAGGAATTCTGTGAAGTCCACCGACTTTTTACTGCAACATGACCAGCCTTTGTAGGCATCGTGGAAGAATGGCGCACCCGGATGATGCCGGCAAGATTCTGTGCAAAACAACGTGCTGTAAGTTCTTTATTATTTCTTGTATAGTAGTTTTACTTACCATCAGTATTGGTGGATGGATCAAAAAGTTGGCCACAACCTCTGTTATAACATTGTTCCATTTTTGCCTTTAATATTTTACAGTTATTTTTGGTTGCTTTGGTCTAGAATATTCGCACATAAGTGGCGGAGTGGAGGCAAGCCGATAAATATACCTCCGGAGGCTGCCAACTCGATAACAAGTAAGCAACACTATCGACAAGTGGCCGAGCTAAGTGTTGAAAAATGCCAGCATGTCGGCAGAAACGGTTTTTTGATTTTTTCAACTTGGCTTAGAACAAACAAACCTGTATTTAGAAGCCATGTGATATGAGGGTTTAGAAAGGCAGTTTGTGAGCAATTAAAACGGAAATTATCGAGCTCATTCGAAAGAGTCTTTAAACTGTTCGGTATGCGGCACTTGGAGACCGAAACCGGAATTAAAATACAAATCAATTAATGCAAATGTAGTGAAGGTCAGTTCGGTTTTTGTCTAAGTGAGCAATGCACAGGATTTGCTAGACGAAACACTCAGAAAGGTGTGTGTGCTGACAAATTGTGAGTCATGTAGCAAAGCTAATTAAAAACGGGAATGCCAACGAATTGAAACTTAAGACGAAAAAGAAACTGTGCTGGAGTAGGGCCAAGCTGGTGGCTTAATTTGCTCCAAGGCTCAGAATTATATTATTATCTTACGTCGTTCGGCATATATGCTACGTATAAATATGTGTAAAACATTTGAATACGTGGAACTCGCTTTTAAGTTTCATTTATTGCCCGCGGCGACAAGACATTTATTTTGCTTGCGTTCAGCAAATTGTCATTTTATTGAAAATTCTTGTGGTCAACAAGGTTATCAACGCCGTCGCAATAGCTGCCAACTGGCTGTGCTCTGACTGCAATTGGCCTTTGTCGTTATGTGGTTGCACTTAATACAAATTATGACAGGGGCCCTGGCGCCCGACCGTTCATCCACGATTTGACCAATCGAGTTTCGGGTGCAGTTGCTGCTGTGAATCATGCCGCCGCCACCGCCGCTAATGATCTGCTTGGAGCTGTTGTTGGCTTGGAGCATTGTTGTGCAATCGCTCGAGAATTGTGGACGTTTTTCATATTTCGACGCTGCTGCTGCTGCTGCTGCTGCTGCTCTGCGACTTCTGACAGCTCTGCAAGACAAGCTCAAATAATATAAAGAAATATAAAAATTCGGAGCTTTAGTTGCCGTGTGTCCCAGTGTCAATGGAAATTAACACCGCAGGCACCGGCACTTGGCCCAAACTAGGCGTCCACGTAATTTAACATACAATGGCAAGCGGCGGCAACAACGGCAACAATAACGACACACTATGCAATTGTGTGCGGCGGCATGAAATGCTGTTGTAAAATGCAAAGGCACAGATTTCTTGCAATTCGCTAACAACAAAAAAAAAAAAAAAACTCAAACAGCAACAAGCAAATAAACATTCCAAGCCCGATGACGCGTATTCGGTTCACACTTCATTGGCAGCTCCAGACTCCGGCTACGATTCTAGCTACTGTTTGTCGCTCGATAAGCATCGCTTGGGCTCAGCTTTCAGCTAGATATATATATTATGCAACAATGAAAATAAAAACATAATATATCACAGCCGTGATAACAAAGGCTGATTTGTTTGCTTAACGCTTGCGCGCTTTCAAGTTCGCTTCCTGAGTCTTTCGTTTTGCGCATGCATCAACAATTGCAATAGCAAACAGAAATATATATTGCTGCACACTCGAGTGGCACGACAACGCACAAGTTAAACACAAAATTGCATATTTTAGACATTTATTTACAAAATTTTTAGATATTTTGCCTAGGCGCCTCATTAACTGACTACTTACACATGACTCGACTCTCGACTCGACTCTCCACTCTCGGCCCTGTGTCGCCTCAGAAGTATGTGTATCTCGTACTGTACGGATTGCTGTAATAGTTGAACGTTGCGTACGATGTGTCCGGCGTTTGAAATGTGGTGCTGAAATATGTTGGATCCACGCCGCCAGCCGCCGCGGCCACGGCTGCCACCGCTGCAAATTGATTAGAATATAAATAAAGGAGCAGCACTTGTTGTGGACTTGACATATTTAACGAGTGCGTTTACAAATTACAATTAATATGGTTAGGCTTGGGCGGGCGGGTGCACTTGAGATTAGTCGTGTTACTTTTGCTGCCAACTGGTAAATTCCAAGCGTGGGCGTCGACCGAAGGTTAAGCGCTTCGTCAATCACCACGGCGTCAACAAGCTGGTCAAGTGTTTGGGCAAGTGTCCAGCTGCAATTGCTGCAATTTAGAATGGCCCGCTTAACGATTGGCCAGCGGCCACATTAGCCGCTGTCCGCACACACATATTTTAATGCTGGGGGTGGGTTGTCAATTGTGACCGCATTTAATGCTGCAGCAATTGGCCATTTATCTGGTCTAACCGCAGGCAGTCCTCATCCAGGAAGCGGGCGCTGCGTGCAGCGAGAACTTTGGGCTTGCGAAATTAATTACACAATGGCCATTTGGCTACCGTTCGCCAATCGTGCATAAATTGTCAAATTGTAAAAATTATCTCAACTTAGTGTCGTTCGGTTTTGTTCGTTGTGAAATGTTTTTTCCATGCATTGTCTGTCCCAGTCCCAGTCCCAGTCCTCCGGCTTGGCCCACTGCTCGCTTTTTGCTCGCCATGCGGCCAGCTAGGCTTAGTCGCAGCAGTAAACAAAAAAAAAAAAAAACAGTTGCTCCATTTCGATTTTCTTTGCGTTTCAAGCCTCTCAAACGATATGCAAAAAACAAATGCCGAAAAAAAAGCTAGCAAGAATGCATCGCTCGACTTGGAGATACTCTCGACTAAAAAGAAAGTATTTTGAGCTCTTGCTAAGACGCGTTGTCTAGATGTGTCTACTTAAAGGGAACTTTAAACGATAATTAACATAATTAATATAATAATAATTCGATTTTAGTTGATATAGCTTAAAAATGCTTTCTTACTTATCTTATTTATCTTTATTTTAAGTATCGCACAATCTCGCTCTAAGTATTGAAGGCCAATCGTAGGCAACCTATTCCTTTTAAAGTTTGTTACATACATTCGCTTAGGCTCAATATACCCTTTTTAGTGTTTTTATGTGTGCAGGGTATAAATAAAGTTAAAATGCAAACTGCGAACATATTTTGCACAGCATTAGTCGCGCATATCATTGAGTATCTCCCCTCTTTCTCCCCCACTCTCTCTCTCTCTCTCTCCCTCTCTCTGTCTCTTTGCCCGTCCCTCTCCCCCTTCAATTCACATACTCTATGCAAATGTGTATGTGTGCGCTCATTGACTTTATAGACAGGCACATAGCCATATGGGGCTTAAGTCTCGATTGCCGCTGCAGCACCTGCTGCTCGTGGCCGACACATTTGCTTGTCGTTAAAATTTGTTCATATTTCATTTCCCAGTGAGGTACTTAAGGCATCACTAGCTGCCTGCCCCCTGCCAAGGGGGTTTATATTGGGTTTATTTTGTAATAAGAGAACAAGCATTGAAAAAAGCTGTCGAGTAGCAAAGACATTTTCTTGATAGATGTTTGCCATTTTGGAGCCCGGTAAAGGGTCGATATAAATAACAATAATTTGTATACTACACAATGCATATTAATAAAAAGCTTATAAGGCATTTCTAGGAGTATATGCCCAATAAAATATATAAATTATTGATCATATGAATTATTGATTTCTATTGCAGCATAAAAATGATTGATTACCAAGCTCGGAAACTAAAAAGGCTAAAAACTTGAAGTATATATCCTTTATAGCATACGTTCTTTATCGATAAAAATCCATTTTATGACTTGGCTTAAACTGAACACAATACATAAGAAAATGTCATTCAAGATAAAAATTTTAAATTTGTTGAGCTGAACTGACTCAACAAATAATTTTGCATGATATTGCTTAAGCCTTTCTAACTTGATTTGAATGTAGAGGGAAATCTGTTTTCCTATTTCTATTTATAACAAAATTCACAGGCTTATAAAATGCTGTTCAATCGGGAGCTCAATATATGAAATATTATATATGGAGACAATGCTCGAATGGAAACATTGAACTCAATTCCGTGTCAAGACATTGACAAATCGAATTTTAGTCATTTATTTGAAGCTGCTTTTAATCAGTTTTGAGCTTGAAAAGATTTTGAAGCGATGTGCTGTCTGAAGATACAGCAAGTTGCGCCAACTGATTTCTTTTGTCCATATTTCAACATTCGATTTGGATTCACACCAAAAATCCATCCCCCCCCCTTGTCGAGTGCTCGTCCAAGCCCACAAGGTCTCGTCACCCCAACTCATATATATATATATATATATATAATAATATAATATTTTGTGCCCACGCCAAAGTGAAGTTGTCGTGAAGAGTGTAGGCCACGTCGTTGCGGTTGCTGGATTTGGATTTGGAATCGGATTGGCCGTGGCTGAGGCCGTCACAGTTCGATTTGTGTCGCTGCACTTCAAAGCTGGCTTTGTTAATTAGACGCTTGTTTTGTGTGCACTTACAATAATTGCTACAAGAAATCATAAACATACTTGTACGATAATATCAAAAGCCAAAAGTGGTGCATTTGAATGTGAAACTGTGAAACTCAAAAGACTACAAAATAATTACTCAAAACAAGTTGAATTTTTTGGCTGGAATTTTGTCTTTGTTGTGCGGCCGAAAGATGTCAAAGTACAAATTAAAAAAAAAAAGTAAATTAAAATTGTAACATAAACAAAACATTTTATATGGTAGAGTTTGTTTTTTATTTATAATTTAGCTAGTTCCTCAACTAAAAATAATAAGAATTTTAATGTTACAAATTAAACAAAATAAAAATCATAAGTTTCTAGAAAAGAACATAAATAATATACAAAAAATAATTGGCAAAACAAAAATAAAAACAACAGAAAAGAAAAGAGAATAAAATCAAATTGAATTTTTTGCTGAAATTTGTTTTTTGTGCAGCCGAAAGATGTTGAATAAAAATCAAATAAAAAGTTTAACATAAGAAATACATTTAAAATTTTTTTATTTATAATTAAGCTAGTTCTTCAATTGAAAATAAAAAATATACATAAAATAATTGGCAAAATAAAAACAATAAAAAAAAGAAGGGGAATAAAAAGCAAAAGTAACTAAATTTATGTGTTTGCAATTAGATAACAACAATTAAACTAAATAATAACTAATAAACTTTTTTTATTATTACATGTTATTTGCTGTTATGTTAGTGTGTGTGTGTGTGGGAGTGTGTGTCTGTGTGTGCAGGGCTTTGGAGCGGATGGGCTGGGGCTGAGGTGCTTAAATTGAAGTTGGCTGCAATTAAGTGTGACGCGTATTTCCGTTTCCGGCGCTGTTTGGCATTGTGCGAGCTGTGTGCGTGTGCGTGTGTGTGTGTGTATATATGGCTGTGTATGCTTGTGTGTGTGTGTGTGTGTGCGTATGTGCAGTTAACCAAAGATTGTGCCTGTGAATTGGACGTGGGGTGGAGGGTACGTTAAAAAAAGACAATTATTCAACAAAACTAAAAAAAGACTTCATATTTAAACACTACTTCAATTGCACTAATAAAGCTTTAATTGTGTGCGTGTGTGTGTGTGTGTGTGTGAGTGTGTGAGTGTGTGTGAGTGTGGGTAACAATGGCCTAGGTTCTACTATTGTCTGAATGTATTACTTTGCTGAGGTGGCACAAAGCCAAAGCCGGAGGCGCCAACAACAACGCCGCTCGACTCCTCAATCGCATCCGGTGGCGAGGGGGGGAACACGACGGGTCCTGCCAAGGAAATACACAAAGATGTAGAAACGTTAAGGAGTGTGAAATTATAATCTAGATTTAGGGTATTCGTGTGGCCAATCTTACCTCTGTTCTGTCGCGGATCACGAATCTGCGCCGGCGAGGGCTGCGCCAGGGCCAAAGGATCGTAGGCGAAGCGGGATCGGCCGGGGAATTGTCCTAGAAAATATTGCTGGCCAGCGGCAAAGGCCAGGCACAGGCACAGGGCAGCAATGGTGACTAACTGGAAAAAAAGAGACATTGGATACGTTTAAAAGCGCGCATGTTGGTAATATGCTTAAGTACGGTCGCGGCGATTAAACAATTGAAATGTGTGTCAATGCCAACACAGAGCTGAGCATATAGAAAACAATTAAGCCAACAAACAGTCGACCATAGAATGCCATTCAGCTGTACGCGATTCGAGCACGAGCCGAGTGCCAAGTGGTAAGTGCCAAGTGCCAAATGGTAAGTGCTCTATTCAGTTCTAAAAGCTGTCTCTTTGGCCATTTTTCATATGCAGCGCTTAACTGTGTAATTAGCGGCAATTGCACATAAACCATATCTATGACAATTACAAAAGGAGTTTGGCTTTAAATGCCAGTCAACGAATTCGCTACCGAGCTCTCGCTGTGCCAAAGGTAATATAAATATTAAGATGATTAACGTTTGATTTGAATGCGACGCAAAATTTGTAGCCTGGCTTGTCAACTGGCTTCCCACTTGAACTGCCGACTGGCTGTTCGCTCCCCAAAATCCTTCGGCAAAACTGAAGAGCCGAAGCTGAGAGTAAAATTATATTTTTAGCCTTTTTTATGCTCTTTCAGTTGAGAGAAAATTTCTAGCCTGGCTTCTCATCTGGCTTTTTAGCAAGCTGAGAGTACTTTCTATTTTAAGCCCTTTCGCTCTTTCAGCTGAGAGAGCGCAATGAAACTGATTTTTTTTTTGTGTTCTCTATTTTAAAAAAATCAAGCTGCAGAGTAGCATCTTAGTGTTTGTATTGCCTGTGGCTGTGCTTTCCAAAGCTGACCCAATTCGCAGCAGCGCCAAATGCATCGAATCTAATGCTCTGATAAGCATACGGCCCGAGCTCGTTAAGCAGCTAAGATCTGCGCTCGTGGAAGCTGTGGCGGCATGCATCAATGGTCCAAATTGGCTCAGTGGCCATAAATATATATATATATGTATAGTCGAAGTGCTGGCTGTCTGCAAGGCGCCTGAATTTATTGATTTCGCATTGAATGCTCGACAGGCAGCTTCGGCAGCTCGGCAGCTTGCAACTGTGCCGCAAAGTGTTGCACGGGTGTTTTGTTGCATCTAATGTCTTATTAAAGGCCGTCACGCAATTGCGACAGAGTCTGGACACTAATCACAGGGCCGCAAAGACTTAATAGAACCGGGCTAACGAACGGGCCCGAATACGCTGCATTAAGTCCATATTTGTTTGCTTTATGGTCAGTAATCACACCTGTGCCCACATGCATCAATATTGCCAAGTAATTGCCGGTTGCCTTTGCTTAAGTTTCATTTTTTATTTTCTGTGTGCCTTTGAAAGGTTTTTGCTTCATTAATTGCCTAATGGGCCGCGCCTGCAATCTGCATTGGACTGCAGGGCGTATGCGCAATATTTTGTGTTTCATGTTCATTTTGCAGACATTTTTTGTTGTTGTTGTTGTTGTTGATTTTTGTGCTACTGCAATTGATTTAATTTAATATGCGGCAAAGTGCACCCTACAAATAGTACAAGCAACAAAAAAAAAACACAGCTGCAACAAGAACCAAAAACAACAACAACAAATTGCTAATTGCTATTAGCAAAAATATGCATACAACAAATGCAACAAGAACAACAAAAACTGCAACAAGAAACAACAAAAAATTGTCTTGAAACTAAATAATCAAAAAATATGCAAACAAGGCGACCAGTTGCCAACAAGCCGCTGCGACTCTCGTCTAGACATTAAAGTCTCGCCAACTTGTGAAAATGCTTTTAATTAATTCATGTTTCTCGTTGTTGTTGTTGTTACTGTTGTTGTTGTTGTTGTTGCTGCTGTTGTTGTTGTTGTCCTAAAGTTAGACACGGCGTCTGTTGGCACAGCAGCTCTGAGCGGCCCAGAAGATCAAGCCCGCGCAGATTAAAGCCATGTGATAATTATGCCAAAAATTCTCAAAGCTGCGTGATTAATAACCTTACCCCCCACCCACCCCCTTCTGGCGTGGGAGGTTCGTGCAGGCAGGCCAATTGATTGTCCAAATTCTTGGCCATAAGCCAGCTAAATTGAGGCACACAATTGGCATGAGAAGCCGGCAAACTTTTGATCCAACCGATCAGAATTTAATAACCAAAGAAGAAATGACAATTTACAGCGAACAGCTGTCATTGCACTGAAAAATATAATTGGCTTAGTTCAAGATTATTTGCTTCATTGTTGATTGCAATCAATCTAATTGAGCTTATGAACTAGAACGGAGGAGTTGAAAAAAGGAAGAAGTAGATTATAAAAAGTAGTATACATTTTTGAATTTTTAAAAATTTGATTTATATATTATTTTTCTCAGTGTATTTCACGCATTGCCTAGAGCAGAAAGCATAGAACAGGAGGAATTGGATGGATCGCCACCTCTCCGCTAGCACCCCAGAGATATAAATCAAGTTAATAACCCAACTTTTATTGCCAACCAATTTAAGCCAAAATTTAAATGCAATTGACTTTTTCAGTATACAAAAATATTCTATGATACAATAAGATATACTGTAGAAATTTTCATAAAGATCGGTTAAAATAAAACGCGCGGGGATATGGCCTTCCATTTTTTTCAAAATCGAGGTCGGTGCGAAAATCGAAACTTTTTCGATGTTTTTTTTTAATATCTCGGGTAAATAATGTCTGATTATAAAATGTTATACCTTGAATGCGTACGGATCCCTACCATCAATTGGCATTCAAACAAATTAATCATCGATGGGTTGAAAATGTTGTTGACAAAAAACCGATTAGTTCGTAAATTCAACCTTTTTCATGATTTTTTGCAATAATTCCGTCAAATAATGTCCGATTTTGGAATTTTATACCACTTTTGACTCGTAAGGATCAGTTCTAACGATTGGCATCAAAAAAAGAAAATCTAAAATTTTGACCCAAATCGACAAAATGGCAAGGGGTTACATCACGCTTTTTTCAAAATAGAGGTCGGTGCGAAAATCGAAGCTTTTTCCTGGAGATATGACGTTCCAAAACGACAGAACTCCCCGCGGAGATATGACGTTCCAAAACGACAGAACTCCCCGCGGAGATATGACGTTCCAAAACAACATAATTCTGCGCGGAGATATGACGTTCCAAAACGACAGAACTCCCCGCGGATATATGACGTTCCAAAACGACATAACTCTGCGCGGAGATATGACGTTCCAAAACGACATAACTCCGCGCGGAGTAATGGCGTTCCAAAACGACATAACTCCGCGCGGAGATATGACGTTCCAAAACAACATAACTCTGCGCGGAGATATGACGTTCCAAAACGACATAACTCCGCGCGGAGTAATGGCGTTCCAAAACGACATAACTCCCCGCGGGGATATGACGTTCCAAAACGACATAACTCCCCGCGGAGATATGACGTTCCAAAACGAAATAACTCCCCGCGGGGATATGACGTTCCAAAACGACATAACTCCCCGCGGAGATATGACGTTTCAAAACGACATAACTTCGCGAGGAGATATGACGTTTCAAAACGACAGAACTTCCCGCGGAGATATGACCTTCATCACGATTTTTTTCAAAATCGAGGTCGCTGCGAAAATCGAAACTTTTTCGATGATTTTTTTTTAATATCTCGGGTAAATAATGTCTGATATTAAAATGTTATACCTTTTTGAATGCGTACGGATCCCTACCATCAATTGGCATTCAAACAAATTAATCATCGATGGGTTGAAAAATGTTGTTGACAAAAAACCGATTCGTTCGTAAATTCAACCTTTTTTAAGATTTTTTGGAATATTTCGGTCAAATAATGTCCGATTTTGCAATTTCATACAATGTTTGACTCGTAAGGATCAGTAAGGATCAAAATGGCACATGGTATCCCCCAGTCGGGAGCTCCCGACTAAAACCTCTTACTTGTTTTATTTAAATTGCTCAAAATGTAATTTGTATATTAATTTTGTTTCAGTGTATTTCGTCCAATGCCTGGAATATATGGCTCCACTGTGGCATGATACACATGTAAACCGTCAGAATGTCGTCAACAGCAGCCGGAGGCAATGTGTCCACGTTTCCACACATTTGCATTTGGGCATTCTTCGCATAGCTTTTGGACAACTGTTCAACTGTGTTGGGCCGTGACAGGGTATTTGAAAGTGATCGTTTAAATTAATTAAATAAATTAAGCGCAGCACTTGGTTTGATTCTGGTTTTTGCGGCTAGCCGCAAGGAATCCGCATCAAATTGGCACTCGAAACCGTGCAGCACGCTAATGTGAGTTAATTTGTTTGAGAACAAAACTATTTGTATGGAAATTGCAATCATTCCTCATGGCAACCCCCTCCCCTCACCAACCACCCCCCTTCCCATCGTTTATCGAAGCCACAACAAATTAGTTGTACAAATGACCTTAGATATGATTTCGTAATTGGGCGGCGTTTGGTACACTGGTAGCAGGCAGCCCCGACTGCCCAGACTGTTGGCCAACGGCGTCTCATGCGAAAACCCACCCACCCACAACAATGATTAAGTGCAGCAACATGTGAGCGTGCCAGTGCCCGTGCCCGTGCCCGGGCCAGCGCATGAAAACCTAAATAAAAATCACAACAACAAGAGCTAACCAAACAACAACATTGCCTTGTTAGCAGCAGCTTTGTATACCCTGTAGAAAATGGGCAAAAGGGCATGCGTAGCCTAGACAATGTTTACGTGTGAATTTATACATATAAATATTTATTTTATATAGTCTATGCCAGAACAATTAGATTTTGTATATATTTTATTTCGATCTGTCTCTTTTACAGGGTATCTAGCTGTCGAGTTGTGAGCATTTGCGTCGCTTTTAGTTGTTTTTCAATCAGATTTTTCATTTTTGTGCTGGCATTTATTGGCGTTTAGATTTTGATTGGCTCAAATGTGCAGTAAAAATAAATTATTTTTTATTACTTTACAAGCCAACAAAAAAAAAAGAGGAAAATAAAATTGGAAAAAATCCATTCGAACAGGTAACCAGAGCGCCTTGCATTTGGACAAATATCAAAATGCATAAAATCAACTCGAAATGAACTTTCGGTTAGTTGTTCCTGGCGAAAATGTGCATGGGCCAAAAAAATGAGTCATATGGAAAGAAAAATGGAAAATGCGGCCTGGCATGGCTACAGCTGGAGCGTTAATTAATCTTATTTAAATGGATTGTCATTTGCCCAGCGAGCATTACGAATTTGATGTGAACAATTTGCCAGTTGCAAAAGTGAATGTTGAACAATTGAAATGCGCTCAAGTTTAGCCGGACACCCAAAATAAAACATAACAGAATACAACAGCAATAAGCAAACGATAAAGAAGGGCTATCTTCGGTACGCCGAAGATTTGATACCCTTGCAGACTCAACCTTTTCAAAATGCTCTTAAGAAGCGCAGGGAAATAGTAAATACTGAGTTTTGTCAAGATATCTTGAAAAATAAATAAGTTTTCCATGTAAGAACCTGCTTTTTGACCGATCCTTCCTATGGCAGCTCTTTGATAAGTGGTCCGATGTTGATAGGAGTTAGCATATATATGAAACGCATCGTTAAACTAATAAATGCCCAGTTTGGTTAAGATATCTTGATAAACAAAAAACTTTTTCATACAAGAACCTACTCTTCGACCGATTGTCTCCTTCCTTGCGACAAAATTAAAATACCCTCTGCAAGGGTATAATAAATGAAATGAAAACTAAAAAAAAAGTTGATACTGTTATCGGTTGTTAATGATTGTAACGCCTACAGCATCAGTTAGCCGCGCACCAGATGCTAATGCTGTCCGAGTCCAGGTTAACGCTCGATTGAGCAACTGTTCATTGACTTTCAACACGGAAGCGTGCTGCTCTCAGCCTGGCTCTCGGCTCCAGACTCTGGATGCATTTGCGATTGTGGCTAAAGTCGAAAAATGTTTAGCGAGACTGTGTCGGCTCTGTTTAGTAGTAGGTGCAACAAGATCAACAACTGGCGCAACACGGCCGCTGCTTTAAATTACTTTGAATTGTGTTTAATAGCTGGAAATGATGCCGGGCCAAAATGGAGACTGTGTCTGACTTTGAGTCCGGCAAGCTGTCCGCTGCCCGCTGCTATTACTTATTGGCCAAGCAATTATGGGGCCTCAATTTGCCGTTCAGCTCGTTGGTTAGGAAGTGCCAATTGACGTTTTGGCAGCGTGAGAATCGAAACACTTTTCCTTTTCCTGCTGATGCCCCCCCCCCACTCCCCTCCCTCTACTCAATGCAACGACAACAATAAATTAGTTCAAGTTCAGCGAACAACACAAATTTGTAGCATTTAAGGCATGACAAAATGCCAAACACAACGCACAAGCCTGCCTGCCTGCCAGTCCGACCATGCCTTATAAATATGGTAATGGCCTGACCACGGTCCGGCGTCCACTCCGGCGATAAATCTAACATAACTATTTTGCAAGCCAAAAGCGATCTCATGTGGGCAGGCACCGCACGCTCGCCAAGCTTCGAGCTAATGTCCAACTGGAGCTGGACATGTGCAACATGTGTACGCCAGGCACTTGCCATGCGCACCGACTGACTGACTGACTGACTGACTGACTGACTGATTGACGGACTGACTGACTGACTAACAGTCCAAGACATGACTCTAGCGCTGATTGCGACAGCTGCGCGTTTTCAGCTAATCGCCTCGCACTACGCGAATTGTAATAAAATAAGCCAAAAACTTTTGCTGTCGCAGCGACCGATGCGATTCCCGATATCAAATGACATGGCACACAGCATATAATGCCAAAGGCAATGGACATTAGCCTGAATTGCTACAAAAGGAGACTGGCTAGAGGATTCCACGAAATAGATGCCACGAATTTGTTTAATATCCAGGCTAGCAGCAGAGCTTAATTGCGGCTGGAATACATGGATGGAATACCTCGCTAGACGACTTATCCAACTGTTCCACAAATTAAGGTGGCGAGAATCCGGAGTCGAATTCCCGGTAATTAATTATTTTGACGTAATATTGTCTTAAGCAGAGGCCTTAGTAGCAAAGTTTGAAGCATATATATATATATATATATTGTTTAAAAATGTAACAAATTTCCATGCTTGTTTCACACCATTTCGTGAATATAAAATGTTTTATTCCATTTAACTCAGTTTTTTTTACTATCACAAAAATCGCTTAGCTGGCAATTCGAGCTCCATTAGAAGGATCCGAATAAGTACTGACCTTTTTAAACTTTATTATTTAATTATTTATTAAATTACTTATGTTATGAAAGATATCCGTTTGTGCCTTAACAACACACAAATATCAATAGAAACCTTAAACAAAACATAAATATAAAAAAAGTCTCAGCCTAGGTTTTCTTCTTCCTCACTCATCTAATAATCAGATGTTTATATTGTCCATTTCAGAAAACGTAAAATATTATAATTATTATTCTACTTAATTAAGTTTTTAGTTAACTTTCTCATAATTCAAAGGCAATCAAAAACTAAACAAAGGTTTGGTACAGATTTTATTTCCCACAAATCTAATAAACAAATCGATTTAAATATTGAATTAATAAAAATTGACTTGAGTTTGAGAAACGAAGTCTTAAAGCATGTTTGAAGTTTGAGCTGATAATACATAATCCCCGAAAACCTGGCCTAAACTCACATACACACACTCAGCTGCAAAAAGATATTGCAATTATGCATGACAATTGCTCGTCGTGTGTGTGTGTGTGTGTGTGTGTGTGGATTGTGTAAGTGAGGCATCTTCATTAGCCGAGCTCGCAGACTTGGCCTGGCCCGGGTTAAAGCCGACCAAAGTCAGAGCAAGCCAAGCGAAACGCAAGGCAAATGTATATATATATATATGTATATATACTTATATTTATGGCAATTAATTTGAATTTCTACACGCAAAGCGTGTAAAATGCAACAACATGTCGACGAGGACAACTTGCGCTGGCTTGCTGGCGACGATTAACCAATGAATTAAAGCGATTGTCGAGCAATTAATAAATCTTTTCGAGTGTGTGTGTGTGTGTGTGTGTGTGTGTGTGTGTGTGTGTGTGTTGTGTGGCACGCATGACCCAATCCTAATCGAGAGCGATTTGCCAGATTTCTGATTGCGGTTCCCAGGGTGCCCAACTGCCTGCTGGGATGAAACGACAACCGCCGACTGCCGACTGCAGCCAGTTGCAGTTGCAGTTGCAGTTGCTGTGGCAGTTGCATAACTCTGAGACTGACTCTAATGAATTGAACGCTGGCTTTTCATAGTTGTTTAATTTATGGCCGCGTCGCGCGCACACGCACATGCATTCGTGGCGAAAGGCGCAACGGAGGGGGGGGACACACGCGCAATGGTCAAGAAGTTGGTCAGCGCCAGTTTGGTCAGTTGACTCTGGCTTTGGCTTTGGCTTTGGCTTTGGGCATTTATATTGGCGCGTGTGTATCGCACTTTTCAATTAACTTACAAAACGCATGCCCAAGCACGTTTTGCCAATTTTTTGTTGCTTGATCTGTAAACAAGTGTCTGCCGCTTGTCTGGCGGGGCCGCGGCCTTCAACATGAACTTGAACTTCCTGCCTTACCCCCGAATTTTTTTATTTTTTTTTTTTTGTTGCGTGTAATTGCCCGTTCTGCACATTGACTTGCTTTTGGGCAGGCGGAAACATTGAAAGTGCGTGCTTGGCTGCCTATGATTATATTTTGTATCGTAAACAATTTATGGCCTGGATGCTGTGTACGCTGTGGCACGCCCCCAGCCAAAGTCCATTGTCTGCGACTTAACAGCTTAATAGCCAGTTGCACACATGCAGTGTGTGTGTATGTGTGTGTGTGTGTGTGTGTGTGTGTTTATTTAAATACGATTACGAATAGATATGTTCATTTTTTTTGTATGCTTGCGGCTGGCTTTGTCATGTCTTTAATGCCGACAAAATGCTAGCTGCAAAAATTGACACACGACAACGGGCAACTCTGGCGGCTGGCCATAAATTCAAGTGCCCAATAAAAATTCTGAATAGCCTCTGAGCTAGTCTCAATTTGCGGTGAATGTTGGCCAAAATTGTGTGTCGGCCATACAACTATTGCATTCGCATTAGCATGAGCATCAACGGAAATGCTGTGAAAATTGTCGCTTGGCATTGGCAAGAGCCGAAAACAAAAGACTTAGGCAACGAACTTGGCTAACGCAAAATAAACTGCAATATTTTTTTTTTCTTTTTGCACTTATTTTCTGAGTACTTACGAATTTCATGTTGATTTAGTTGAGGTTTTTTTTTTTGTAATGCTTAATTGTTGGCTGCGCTGCAATTAGTTAACAAATATTTCAAAAATTAATTAACTGATTTATTAGGCACTGCACTTGTTATTTTTTGTTTTTTGTTTTGTTGGTTTTACAACACGAAACACGATTTTGTTTGTAATTATTGGCTTTGAAAATTTCTTTTGCCTTTCTTTGATTTTTGGTTTTTAACTAATTATTGTTATTGTGGCAAACGCGTGTCAAATGAAACTGAAAGCCAAATTCAAATAACAATGAGTCTGGGAACTGTTAGCTGGATGCCGTTTGGCTGTCAACTGTGTATTGGCTTACACGACTCTGCGCTGCGCTATATTTAAAAATAGTGTGTGTTGCGGGAGCTCGGCTTTGACTCGGACTCGGACTCGGATTCGGCGGATCGTGTGTTTGTACGTCGAGCTGTGCGGTAAAACGTTTAATGAATTCCAACAGAAATGCTCAGTTGATTTTATATAAAGCATGGCAAGCGTGCGCCGATGTCGACGTCGACGTGGCCGTCGTTGCTTTGTTTGCTGCGTTTTGAGTGAGTTTTTTTTTTATTATTTTTATCTTCGAGCACTTGTGTGAGAGCCTTTGAGCTTGAGCTCGAGTGCTATTGTCGCTGGCCTACGTGCGACACGTGATGGTCGTTGTTCTTGGGCGGATTGTGGCAAAAAAGGCAACTTTCTAGCATTTGGTTGCGATGGCGGCTGCTGCTGCTTTCCGGTAACCAGTTTCAGCTTGCGCTGCACTTCATTCGGGTCAATCAGTCTGAATAGGCGCTTATGCAAATCGAATGCAAATGTAATAGGAAAGCTGGGCAAGCACCTTGGCTTGATTGCAGGTGAAAACAGCTACAACAATTGCAGCAACAACGGCAACAGCAGCAACAATAACAAAAATGCTGCTGTATTGTCAGCAGTTAAAAAGCTTTGGCAATTTCTTCCGCCTCTGCCATTTTGACCGTGAAAATTTCGTGTGATTGTTGGCCTGTTGGTCTGTTTGTTTGATTGTTGTTGTTGTTGTTGTTGTTGTTGTTGCTGCTGCTGTTGCTGCTCAGTTTTCTGGCCGAGGAACGCTGTTGACTTGATTTAAATGACAATTTACGTTATATTCGAATGTATGATTAAAAATAGCAATATGCATATCATAATCATAACGCACGAATTACCTGCCGGAAGCACTAAACAGAAGGCTTTAACCACAAGCCTCCGAGCTATTTTTGTACACAACATGAATATTTTTTAATTACAATTTATGCTACAGTTGATGTGCAACATAAAATGCTTGACATTTACGACCCTTAAACTGAAAAACAATTGTTCAAAATAGCCGCCTACGAGGGCTGCTCAATACGTAATGAGCGTGTGCCCATTTATATTTCTAGTATTTTTTCTGCTATTAAACTTTTTGGTATTCTAATGAAAAGCTAAGATTGGCATCCTTGGGAGAGCGTTGCCATATCACTCAACACAAAAATTACTTTCACAAATATATTAAAAACGGGCATTTGCTTGAGGTCAATTTACTTTGCATCACAAAGAAATGTTGAACTTTAGTAAGCACGATATAAATTATTTCATGACTTAATTAACGACCCTCGTAATTAATGCGTGCAATTAAATACAAATTGCACACTTGTCGCAGCAATGCAAGCAATGCGTACGTTTTTTTTTTTCCGCCAGCCAACGCATTTAATTAGCCGTGCAGCACTGCGAAGGCTATGGAGAGAGAGAGAGAGAGAGAGAGAGAGAGAGAGAGAGAGAGAGAGAGAGCGCGAGAGAGAGGCTGGCTAATTCAAATACCAAGTTCAAGTTCAGCTGTCAGGTGTCTGACGGAGCGGCCGCAAAGTTGCCTTCTTTTTGCTGATGCCACAAGTAGCAGAAAACCGCAATAATTGAATTGAATTGTATAATTCATACTTAGTATTGTCTTCAGCTGGCGTTGGGGTCAAGTTCAGTTGGGCAATTGGCCAGCGCAATTGTTGTAAGCTGTGCAACAATTAGCGCGCTCGCTTAATTGTTGACTGCCATTGATTTATGGCTGATCGACTAAACAATTAACAAATTGCCTTGCGCGTACTTTGCCTTCTCTGGCTTTCTTTTGTTGCTGTTGCTGTTTTTTTTTTTTTTTTTGGCACTTAATTGAAATAGTTGAACGTCTGAAAAAAGTTATCAATCATTGGCGCAAATCTTGGCCTCAGCTCGGCTTGGCCCGGCCTGAGGTTATTGCCACTTTGAGGAATTGAAATAAGCGTTGAGAGCAGCGCCAACTAAAATCTGTTTTGGGCTCTAACTTGTCTGCGCACATGACAGGCCGTCTCAAATTAATGGTTTTTTAAATGCATGCTAAATATAGTCGCTGATATGCTAGTCCAAGTATTCGCCAGTTAATCAGTTGGCTTATCCTGTTGCCAGCAATTAGAATTACAGGCCCATTAATCACCGATTGCTACACGCGCATTTAATTATCAAGTTCAGCTCATAAACATTTCACTCAACGTAAATGAATTACATTCATATGTATTTATATTATAATCAATATATGTTGTATTGAAATGAACCTTGCCATTACACATTTTGTTGAGGAAGTCAACTGCAAATGAGTTCAAAACCTCAAGAAGTGCAATAACTTGCCCAATATTCAAATTTCGAACTGGTCATTATTCCAAAATACACGCCGACTCATGCACACTCTGCGCCTGGTATTAAAAGCTGAGTAATCGAAGGCAACTAAGAAATGCTTGATTTAAAATGTGCATAAGTGATTTGATTCATATTGTCATGATGTTGTCATGATTGCAGCACAGCACATTCATTTTAATCGTCGTTTTCTATATATAACGGTTTTTCTATGCATTTTTGCCAACACTAAAATATATCAAATGTATACATACGTTAAGGTTGCCTATTGCGAGAAGGCAAATTCATTTACCATCGTTTTCTAACACTATTTAATCCATGCCAAAAATGTTATCTTCTCTGTTAAGGTATTACCATTTGATACATGGATTTCATGGCATTATCGTGTATTGCACTCAACCTCCAGGTTAATTTTAATATTTACAACAATTTCGGATTGCCTTTTTCGGCATTCACTTTATTCCCGAAGTTGTCGATGCGTTTCAATGACCTTGCTGCGTTAATAATTAACTGTATGACGATGCAGCACTTAGATTCTGATATAATTAGATACGTTATATGCCAATTAGCGCCGTGTTGAGGAAGCGTTGCTAAGGCTGATGCTGATGCTGCTTTAGACGGTTGACAATATATAACAGTTATTGCACTGCTGTCGCCAATTAGCTAATTGTGCCCAAATGTGCATAGAGAATTATGAAAAGCGAGCGCAAGTTCGAATGTTTAGCATTCCAAAGTTCCGGTCCAATTTCAATTCGATTTGCATTATGCATGCACACACATAAACACATACACACACATGCACATGCATATACATATATGTATGAAGTGTTTTGCTTTTATTCTCACGACATCGACCTTGACAGTGCTCGAAACAGTGCGCCGCAGGTCTGTGAGTGTGAACGCATGCTTCAGCGGTTGGCAAGGAAGAAAACTCTTGATGCTGGAACTGGTTTTTGGTTTTCCATTAGGCGTCAATTGAAGGCGCGAATATGCGTATGTAATATACCGTTGCAGCAACAACAACCACGCATAACGTAAGTTTGACAAACTGACAGCGCAGTCGCTGTTACAGTCATGGGATTTAATTGAAACGGGTTGGCGGCGAGGTTGCATATGCGTGGTAAATTATGTTGCCAAAACTAGACGCTTAACTACTTTCGATAGGGAAGAGCTTAACTATTTGTTTACTTGTCAACAGCGGCAATTTGTATGCTAAACGTTGAATTGACTTCGGGCAATTATTATTTTTGGCGGGTACATTTTAAAGTGTGCACTGGCAATGCTGTATATAACAGCTACCAATGTCAGTGCTGTAATATATATAAATATATCGTTTGCCAAATATCGATTGTGTATTAAATTTTTAAATTTACTATTAAAAATAATTGAAAATAGTAAATAAAAACAATTTAAAAAATTGAAATAGAAAATCGATGCCTAAAATATTCGCACTTTGATTTTTGCCAAAATGTCTTAGTGTTTGTTAATGTTCTTAATATCAAATCAAAAACTATCGGTGCATGGAACAATCGAGACTATCGATAGTGCCAACAACTAGCAAAAAGCAACCACTCATCAAACCGGCATCAGCACCGAAAAAGCGAGAAATATTCGCCTGAGTTTAAACCAAATTTTCGTAGAGTAGACGCCAACGCATGCCAAAATGACGCACACAAACACAAATTGGATCCTGGCATTTTTCGGCACTCTTCTGGCTTTGGAGCTAGTGACAGGCTCCGAAAACAATGAGTATATGAAGCGGGAACACAGTCTGGTGCGTCCATTTCAAGGTAAGATAACACTTTATGATGCATAGCTGTGCGTGCCAGAGGCATGCCATAAACACGACACGATTCGTTATCCATTCCAGGCGTTGGCGTTATACTACCCCACTGGGATTTTCTGGGCAACACAATGGTCACCAGTAACTACATAAGACTGACACCGGATTTGCAATCAAAGAGCGGCGCACTGTGGAACTATTCGGTATGCGGGCATTAAAATTGTATTTATTAAATAATTGTTGCAAATGTATATCTATTGCAGCCCATCATGGGACGCAATTGGGAGGTTCACGTTGGGTTCAAAGTACATGGCAAGGGCAATGAGCTGTTTGGCGATGGATTCGCCATTTGGTATACCAAGGATCGGATGCAAACTGGTCCTGTTTTTGGCAGCAAAGATCATTTCTCTGGGCTGGCCATTATACTGGACACCTACAGCAATCACAACGGACCGCATAATGTAAGTGGCATGTACGCCTGTGGCAATGTTATCCTAATCCCTTTTTGCATTCAGCATCAACATCCCTATTTGAGCGCTATGGTCAATAACGGTACCTGGAGCTATGATCACGACCGAGATGGCACGCATACCCAACTGGCCGGCTGTGAAGTGCGCTTCCGTAATGTGGATTACGACACATTTATAAGCATCCGATATGAGAACGATGTGTTGTCCGTTTCGACGGATCTCGAGAATCGCAACGAGTGGAAAAACTGCTTTGTGGTTAACAATGTGGAGCTGCCCACGGGCTATTACTTTGGCATGTCAGCAACAACGGGTGACTTGTCCGATAACCATGACATACATAGCTTCAAGTTCTTTGATATTGACACAAATATCAGTGTAAGTACTAATATGGGCAGGCAGGCTTAATTATTAATTAATTAATTTGTACTGCAGCATGACGAGATCTTGCAGCGTAGCAACATTATTCCAAATGCCAAAACATTTGAAGCGCCGCGAGAGCACAAAGATGATCCCAAGCCAGGAATGTCGAATGCCAAGATCTTTTTCATACTGCTA